GGAAATAAACTTCCTTTCTCAATTCAGGCTTGAACTTCTTCTCATTTAAAGTTTAAATCTTCCCATTCTTTTTGTAATTTCTTGGTAAATTCAGGATGAATATCTGTTCAGTTAGGCATATTATACTATTTTTGTATTTTTGCCACTTAGTAAAATTTTATTTCCTAGAGTTGATATTTACTTTTACTTTCAATTTTATAGAACTAAAAAATTAATATATATGTCCGAAGACGAAAATAAATTATCTAATATTCGCAATATTGGTATCATGGCTCACATTGATGCTGGTAAAACTACTACTACCGAACGAATACTTTACCATTGTAAAAAAATCTGGAAAATGGGTGAAGTCCATGACAAGGAAGGTAAGGGGGCTACCATGGATTACATGGAACAAGAAAAGAAAAGAGGAATTACTATCCAATCAGCCGCCACTACCGTTTATTGAAAAGAACACCAAATAAACATTATTGACACTCCCGGACATGTTGACTTTACTGCCGAAGTGGAAAGATCTTTGCGAGTTTTGGATGGGGGAATAGTCGTAATGGATGGCAAAAAAGGAGTGGAAGCTCAAACTGAAACTGTTTGGCGTCAAGCTAAAAAATATAATGTTCCTCGGATAATTTTCATTAATAAAATGGATGGAGTAGAAAATGAGGAAAAATTTGTCGATAACTTAAAAAGTATTCGGGAGAAACTTGGAGTTGAACCACTACCGATTCAGTTTCCGATTGGTGCTGGTCGGGAATTAAAAGGAATAGTAGACATAATCGAGCAAAAAGCTTATTATTATCACCAGTTAGGTGATAAGGAAAAAGCCAAGGAAGAGGAGTATCAAGTAAAAGAAATTCCTTCCCACTTAGTAGAAAGAACTAAAAAATATCGGCATGAATTAGTAGAAAAAATAGGAAAAGTAATTGAACAAAATGAGGAGTTGCTTTTAAAACATTTAGAGGGTCATGAATTATCGGTCGAGGAAATCAAAAAAATGCTGCGCCAAGCCACTTTAACCGGTGAATATTTTCCAGTATTTTGTGGTTCGGCTTATAAACATGTAGGAGTGAAGTTACTTTTAGATGGAGTGGTAGACTATTTACCTTCTCCATTAGATGTAGGCGAAATACCTACTTTCTCACTCCTAGATAAAAATAAAGAAGGATCGATTAACTGCAACAGTCCCTTACCTTATTTAGCTCTGGTTTTTAAAATTGTATTCGATGACCGCAATCAGAGAGTAACCTTTATTCGGGTTTATGCAGGAAAGATTTCAGCCGGCTCCCAAATCTATAATGTTAATCAAGGAAAAGAGGAAAGGATAAGAAGTCTGGTTCGAATGCATGCTAACATCAAAGAAGGAATTGAAAAAGTGGAAGCTGGTGATATTGCAGCCATAATCGGATTAGAATACGCTATTACCGGTGACACTTTTGGGGATAGAAAGAATCCTTTACTACTAGAAGCCATTGATTTTGCTGAGCCAGTGATTTCCCAAGCCATTGAACCAAGGACAAACAAAGACAAGGATAAATTAAGGGATGCCTTAGAAAATTTAAAAGTTCAAGACCCCAGTTTTAAATATCGAATGGATCGCGAGACTGGGCAAATGATTATTGCCGGTATGGGAGAACTTCATTTAGAAGTTTCGGTAGAAAGATTACGAAAAGAATATAAACTGGATATTGAAAGTAAACAGCAAAAAGTATCTTATCGGGAAACAATTACCAAAAAACTAGCAAACATAGAAGGATGATACAAAAAAAAAACTGGCGGAAGAGGGCATGATGCTCGAATTTGAATCACTCTTGAACCTAATGAGAAAGGTAAAGGTTTTGAATTTATAGATGCCAAAAAAGGTCAAGATATGTCGAATGAAGATGCAAAAGAGGTAAAAGAAGGATTACAAGAAGTTGCATCATCTGGTTTACTTTTAAATTATCCTCTATTGGATGTAAAAGCGACTTTATTAGGGGGTAAAAGACATGAAGTAGATACTCAATCAGGAGATTTCAAAAATGCCGCAATTTTAGCTTTCCGAGGTGATGGAGTAGCCGAAAAAGAAAAAAGAATTCAAGAATTAGGAGTAGTTTTATTAGAACCAGTCATGCAAATAGAAGTAGTAGTTCCAAAAGATTATATGGGAGATATTTTGGCTGACCTTGGTTCACGTCGTGCGATAATTGAAAATACTGAGGAAAAAGAAGGCAATGCCTATATCAGTGGCAAAACTCCATTAAGGGAAATCCTTAGTTATTCGACTACTTTGCGACAATTGACTAAGGGTCGAGGAGAATATTCAATGCATTTATCTCACTATCAAGAAGTTCCTAAAAGCATTTTAGAAGATATATTGAAAGAAGAAAAATTATAAAATACATTCTTCGGAGTATAAAAGTAATTGGAAGTCGAGATTGGGCGGCTTCAAAGATGAATTAAAGAGTTAGAAGGAAAAAATAATGATAACAAAAAAAATTTAGAAGATAAGCAAAAATAACATGCTCTTGTAGTCAATAGAGAAAAAGAAAATTTTTAATAACTTAAGCCTTTAAATTCAAAATTATTAGGAGGGGAGGGGAGTAATTAAACCCCCCTAATTTAGTTGGTTGGTTATTTAGTTGGTTGTTCGAGATAAGTTTCTCAGTGAGGAAGTTCAGTTGA